TATTGAGTGTAAAGACTGTCTTTTACATCAGCCTGTTTTCAGGGCCTTTTTTTTGGCTACATATTTGTTATTTTTTGCTACATGCCTCCCCATCTTCTTGCGATATGTTTCTATGGCATAAATCAGTGTCTGTGACCTGTTTTCATTTAAAAAAAAGAACATTGGCACAAACCTAGCCTGTATGTATTTTTTGTATGTCATCGAGAGTATTTAAATGATTTTCAATCATAAAAAAAAATTGCGATTAAAATGCGATTAATCGCGAGTTAACTCAGGCATTGATGCGATTAATCACGATTAAAAAATTTTTATCGATTGACAGCACTAATATATATTTTTGCTTCCAGCTTTTATTCTGTACTATCTGTACAGAATCTGTACAGATAGTACAGATCTGTACTATCTTTCATTGCTCTGTACTATCACAAGTACAGAGCAATGAAATTAACTCTCTGCATTTAACCCATCCCCTTGGGGAGCAGTGGGCTGCCATTGTGCAGGGGATTAAGGGTCTTTTGCTCAGTCTGTGGGATGCCCCCCCCCCCCATAACATTATTGGCTTTAAAATAATTTCTAAGAGCATTGAAGGATCATTACAAAGCATTAAATTAGAGTTACTTATTTCAGTTGCAGGTGAGCATTTTTAACTAAATTGTACATCATGGGCATTTGTCTTGCAGTGCTACTTAGTGTCAGTTATTTATTTAGAATATCTAAAATTGTCCATTGTTAGATCTACAAAGCTGGTGGAGACATACCACCAAAGGCCCCAAACATTTGAAAACATGTACACCTCACAGTTTAACAAATAAATGCTAGTTTGAGTTTGTTTACTGATAAGTAGCATCAGCATGGTGGGGCCAGCCTCATGATTCTCTTTAGCAGAATAAGGAAGTTGGTCAAAGTATGTGGAAAAGTGGATGGAGATAAATATTCATTTTTTACTTTTTTTTTGTTAGGAGCAGGGGTCTTCAGTGTTCCTTAGTCTGGGGAACAGACTGTATTAAAGTTTTTAACATCAGACTGAGGTGTCCTGACAAAGGTATTAACAGGTATTAAAGTGAGACAACGATTTAACCTTTCAAGCTCAAATGATTTTTCATTCTGCTGAAAATATTTATATCTATATAAATAAATCAAGAATAACTTTACAGATATCAGATCTTTATGTAAATGTTTGGTACTTGTTTAAAGGTCATGTGAATAGTGCTAAATTATTTTAACATGAATCCCTATATGACTGTATTTGTAAGTAAACAATAAGATAACTGATGCTTTTCTGTGTGGTCGTCCTTAGGTGGAGGGAGCAGCATTTACAGGTTCCTTTTTATGGAAGTCTCGTAGTCTTGGTATCTGGAGTCGTCCCAGAGGAGAAAATATGCTGGACAGTGGAGCCCCTTTCTATGATACCTACAAGACCCTGGATGGAAAATACATGGCTGTGGGTGCCATAGAACCAGAGTTCTATGATCAGCTGCTTAAAGGTTTGTTCAAACATTTCAATTGATTTATTCTACAGTAAAGATAAAAAAGATGAAAAAATTGCTGCTCTGCTGCATTAAAGGTGTAGATGGTCTTTAAGCTTGTTTTTTTTTGGAATATTAACTGATAAAATGCATTTTAATGACAATGAAAAATCAACATGCAGTGTTTTTACTGTATTTGTGACTCTGCTATGCAGAATATCCACTTGTCTTGTAATTTTGAGAATGCACTGCAGGTCTTCAGTAGGAATGAGTTCTTTAGAGTTTCCTAGGCAACAGGTTTAAAATGTCTTTTGTTATTTCCTGCTGACTTCATTTAAGGCATAGGACCTCTATGATGTTGGAGTATACACACATCATCAGCAAATTGTTTCAGTAGTGTGGTCATTTTTCATTGGTGTTTAAAGGATATAACGATGTATTACTGTATGTATAACAGAATTACTATTTATTACAAACCAGAACAGCAGTGTTATTATGGAATATACTTATCATTTATATATATTAATATATTTTTTTCTTGGTGTTCTTGAGATGGTCTGTCAATCTGCTGTCAATCTGAATCTTCTCTTTGAGATGAGAAGTAGCTCCATACATGTACTGTCTAGACAGTTTAAACAGCTTTCTTAGGAGAAAGGCTCACTTAAAGCTTATGACCTTATTATGATTCATTCTGTTCCCTTAAAACATTTTTTATATGTTTATCTGTTTTTATTGTTTCTGTTTATGAGAAAAATCAAACTGGAATGTTTTGTATTGATTCTAAATCATCACTCATTACCTGATATCAATATAAATTAACATAATTTATTCTAGTTTATTTTGTAATATTTGGAAATTTAATTTTTATTATAATTTGAAGCTTTTTAATCTAAAAAAGATTAGTCTAATTTTGTCCATCCTTTTACTTTTTTTGCTAAGTTTCACTTTTCCTTGAAGTTGACTTGAAAAGAAGTTACTTCTTTCATGCCTTTCTTGTTACAATGTTACTGCACAAAGATTCTTATCTCAGTGTGTTTGGGGATTCTTTTTTACCCACCTGCTGCCTGCGGTGATGAGCAAGCTCTGAACTGCTAAAAGAATTATCCTCTAACACACAGAAGGTGATCACACTGACACTTGCTTTACACTCTTGGATTTCCCAATGCCCTTTTATCAGACACAGTGCTTCATACCTCTTTCATAATTCGAATTCTATTTTATTGCCTGCTCTCTTGCAGTATCTTTTCACATTTGATCCAAAGTGTTGATGGCTTTACACCTTTTTTTGCAAAAGCCGTTGTTTACTCAGTTGGTATATTTTTTTGGTATGTTTATTAAAATAAGTAGTGTTGGCTACATTCTTAGGCATCATCTCTTTTGATTATGATACAGTAATAATGCAATTATGTAGTGACATTATTATGGAGCAAAAATGTGATCTTCTAAAGGTTGCTTTAATATAAATGCATGCAAATTTGATAGATTCTTCAAAAAGCTGATCTATGAACCAGGTGCAAAGCGGATTACATGTCTAAAATAAGCAGAGCTGATGGCACAAATTATTCTGTGGGCTATATTATGCAGAGCATATGTTAATCAACATAACATGCAAAATACTGGGAATAATTGTAGTTCCTGATAGACCTGCAAAGCGATTGTTCAAATCTGAAATAGACTGGATGCTATTTTTTGTCCATAATTTGACCATCTAAAAGTCACGTGTAAACCCATTCTCAAAAATGTCGGCACCCATTGTAGCATAATGGTTTAATGACACAGTGCCACAAGCACAGTGGCCCTAATCAGTGATAAGTAATGGCAGAATCCTGAAAAATCCAGAATAAAAACCTGCTCCAGAGTTTTTAACCTCATAGTGTAATAATGACCCAAAGCACACAGACAAGAGCCTAAAGGAGTGGCTTCAGAACCACTCTATTAATGTCAAGACTTGAATCTGATTGAATATGTCTAAAGAGAGAGCATGGCTGTGAATAGACCTATTTAATCCAACCTGATTGAGCTTGAGCTGATAAATGGGTGAATATTTTACTGCGAAACTAGGTGTGCTAAGCTTGTGGCATCACACTGGAAAAGACTTGATGAAGTAATTGCTGCTAAAAAAGGATCAAGAACGTGTTAAGTAAAAGCTGTGAATAGGTCAGTAAATATAATTTCCTAAACTTGCAAGAATCTCAAAAAGCCTTTAACAAATATATCATATAATGTAGTTTTGTGTGTATAATTTTATGAAAAGAGATTAATACCATTTATATAGCACCAGGATACTGCTAAAAGTGCACACACAATAAATACTCCGCTTTACTAAATACCAGCAGCTTTACTTCATACTAACACTCATAAACTACTCTTCATACAAATGTTTAATGTGTTACATGCCCACATGCAGTGGGTAGCCCTTCAAAGTGACAAAAGTAGACATTAACAAGTAGAAACAGGTCCTCACGTGAATGAGACAGAATCTATAGGTGCATAAAAAGCAGTGTTGAACCGATACCGGACAGGGCCCCGATACTGCACTAAAATGGTTGTATCGGTGTCATCGAGTACCGACTAATACGGCACCGATACCATTTTGAGAGCCAAAAGTTTATTCAACTATTGTCACCCATTCAAGGTAATAAAAAATTCTACTGGATTCACTTTGTGTCAGTCTTTTTCTTGCTTCACAAAGGTAGGCAGCAGCTTGACAAAGCCATGATGGCAATTATTTTACATCCACGTAGTATGCAGTTCTTCATATAAACACACACACACACACGCATCAATTTAAAACAGATGGTATCGGCATCAACCAATGCTGCACAGCCTGGTATCGGGTATTGGGGCCAAAAAATGGCATCGGCGCGACACTAATAAAAAGCAAACAGCAAGCACAGAAAAGGAGCATGCAATTATGGTTGTGATATATTAGGGACCTAATAGTATTAAATCTGCACTCATAAAACATCCAAAATGTGCATGGAGAGTAGTTTACATACTTGTGTTTTAAATAAAACTGCTCATATGGGTATTTATTACACATGTGGTATTTTGGCAGAATTTTCCGTAAAATGCTGGCAATACTTTTTAGATGCACCTTATGGAAAGTATATTATAAATAAGATTGTTACTAATATTGTCCTTTTTTTATTATAATTCTCATCACTGCAGCCAACTCTGTTGCTTCATATGTTATTTTACTGCCACTCTGCTCTCTCAAACTTCCATCAGAATGTGCAATTTCCTCTTTAAAGGTTTTTGCGAACCAGTTTTGCACCTGCTAACAACTAAAGCGATCTTAGTAGATAACCTTCAAAAAGTCTACTGATTGCATGTGCAATTTCTTTTGTTTGCACAACCTAACCAGCAGCCTCTATCTGGGTTTTTAGGAGTTGCCACATTTTCATGGATGTTTTTACTGTTTAAAACTTCCTGACCTTGTGAGAGTGAACACCATAGTTAGATCATAACAGCTGTCTGACAGAAGATATTATAAGTCTTGTAAAGGATTTAAAAAGATCACAAAAGAACAAAAACAAATGATGCATTGCTCTTTCCAGAGAATGGTTAAAAGTCGAGAATTTTTAAAGCGAATGCCAACATGCCCAAGCATGAAAGCGGACTGTAAAATACAGGGGTAGAAGATGTATTAAGAAAGAGTATGAAAAAGTTTGTATCCCTTTTTACTCATAACTATATTTTGTTTATTTTTTGTGAAGCATAGAGCTGGAAGAGGATGTGTTTATGGTTTATAATCCAGATTGGAACAGTAGAAAATCTGCCATGCTGTATGCACTTTTGAGGTATATTTGGTAATTAAAAACTGGAAATACACGTTACAAAAAGTAAAAAATAGTGTCTTATCAGTGAATTTGTAAGTCTGAAAGAAAGTAAATGGTAATGCATTGCAAAGGTCCCTCAGATTGATTTGACATACCTTTGCTGTTGGATTTTTGTTTTATTTGTTTATGGAGTTAAATCAGTTTTTCTATTTTGTTTTGTATATTTTTTTATCTTCCCTCAGGCTTAGAATTAGACCCTGAAGAGTTGCCTCCTCAGATGAGCTTTAACGACTGGCCGAAGCTCAGGCATCTCTTCACAGAGCGCTTCGCTTCAAAGACCCAGGCGGACTGGTCGAGGATTTTTGATGGAACCGATGCCTGTGTTACACCCGTGTTGTCTTTCGACCAGGTGAGCTCTCACCCTCACAACCGAGAGAGAGGCTCTTTCATGAAGGACTCCAGCGGGGAAGAGTTCCCCCGGCCAGCTCCGGTTCTGTCTCGGACTCCTGCTGAGCCCTGTCTCGCTTCCAACCCAGAAGTTGGAGAACACACAGTTGATGTCTTGCTGGAATACGGCTATACTTCAGCAGAGATTGATAAGATGTTAGCTGCCGGCATTGTGCAATGTAATGCTGTCAAAGCAAAGCTGTAAAAAAATAAATTTTTGCTCTCTGATGAGCAGACTGAAAAAAGCTTTTACAGATTGCAGTAAAAAATAAATAAATCTGTGTTTGAGACCAGCTAAATTTAAAAAGGGGATGTTGTGTGGTTTATCTTGACTTGATAGTGTTGAGAAAAATCTTTTCTCCCACAGGGTATGCAGATATCTTTTAGGTTCTACAGTTGATCATGAATACTTTATGCAACAGCTATACCTAACTCTTTATTGCATCTCCTGCCTTCTGAATGAGTCAGTCTCAAAGCCTGGTAGAAAGCACAACCTCCACTGAAATCCAACCACAGTGATGGGTGATATATTACCTAGCTCAGGGTCAAAACATGACAAAATAGATTTGTGGGCCCAGCCTGAAAGAGTGCAGAGCAGCGACGGTACAAATAAATAGAAACATTTTTTTGTTATTTATCTCTCTGAGGTTATAGGTTTTTCATCCTAAAGTCTGATGTCTCTGTGCCTTGTGCAGTAGGTCTGGGTTTCTGATGTGTTGCAGATTTAATGTCTTTTTAAAACCAATTCAGATACAGCAGCTGTGAAATAGGGTCCATATTACAGCATTTTTTGCTGTCATTTGGATGATTCATCCCATTAAAGGAGCTACTGTTGTATTTTTCTGATCTCTACACAAAATGTAGCATCAGCTGTAGCATCTGTTATGACTAATAAACCTTTCTAGGAAATATTTTGATTATTTGTTTTACTTGTATACATTAGAGTTTCTTTTCATAGGTTTATTTGAACCTTATAATTACTAAATATGACTTGACATACATAAAAACTGATAATATGTTTCATTCCATTTCATTAAAGATTTAAATTGTCCTCTTTTATGCACATTTATCATCCAGTGTCATTTGGATTAAAACTTAAATGATTATTAATTGTTAGTTTAGAAAGTTCTGTTATTTAGATTGTATATTCTGCATCACTCATGTTTGCCAAACAATCATTTGTTTCCCACGATTGACTATTGTTATGATTGCTTGATTTAATGATTCTCACTAAAACTAAAGCTTAGATGCAAAAAATCTACTTTGTATTTGCTATTCAAGACCAGAAATTAAAGATCATATAATGAAAAGAAAACAAGAAATGGCAAATAAAGATCTATAACGTGAGTAAAATGTGAGAATGCACTTTTTTATAAATGGTTATTAACAAAATATAACAGAATACTATGATGTAAACCCGAGCATCTGTTTCGGTTTGGATTAGTGTTGTATATGATTTTTAACTTAGGTGCTAAAAGGCCTTCTGTTAGAAATGATTTAACACAAAATGAAACCATGTTGGTTGCACTGTTTGATCAGAGTTAAGCAGTTGGGATGAAGAGACACTTAAGAAAGATGTTTCTATGGGCAATAATGGGGTATGAGTGATTAACATTATGACAGCAGTAACTTTCAGATGCTTTGGTCTAATGCACATTTTCACTGTTTCAGAATTGAAAAAAAAAACACCATCTAATGACCCACAATGGGGAAATTCAAATGTGTAACAGCGACAGCCAACAGTTGAGAGTTAATCCAAGCAGTTGTGAAAAAGGTGGGAAATGAACATTTTGTGTGAAGTATTTTGAAGCAATGAATGACATTTTAATCATTTAAACTTCAGTATGCAAACTTCTGTAATGACTCAGAACAGAGGGACCCAGTATTCATTCAAGACAGACAGTGGGATAATTTAAAGCATTTATTTAAAAACAGGTTGCGTATCTGCAGTAGCAGCAGCTAGGGCGTATAAGACAGGAACGTCTACAGGAGAGAAACAACATGTTAGTGACCACAATAATCTGATGGAGGATGATTATGAATGTGCAAGTAACTAACCTAGTTTGACAGTTCAGTCCATGTCCATAGAACAAGGATGATTCCAGCCAGTCGACTGACGAGACGCAGCAGATGCTGCACGAGAGTTCCTGATGCGGAAGCCTAGAATGCTGCAGAACGGACAGGAGATCGGACCCGAGCTGACGAAGGAAGGCAGGATATTTCACAGGGTGAAGTCGAGAGGCAGATCAAGGTTCAGTCCATAGAAGAATAAAACGAGTCCAAAGACAGGCCAGGCAAAGAGATCAGAAAGGGACAGGCAGGATCAAAAGTCAGAATACAGAAACAGGTCAGGATCAGGCAAACAGAATAATATTAGTAATGCTAGAAAAACTCTTTACATCTGGCACTGATTGCTGGGACCAGGTAGTTTAAATAGTAGCAGGTGGATCAGATGAACAGTGATGAGGAACAGGGCAGAGCTAGACAGGTGAATGAAATGAGAAATCAAGCCAGTCATCAGCGTGACAATCATAACAAAAACTAAAAGAAACCTAGAAAGACGTACACCTTGGATAACGGTAAGTTTGGTTCAGTCAACATTTCAGGAAATATTTGAATGTATTACCTGCATATAACCAAGCTGATTTATATAGGACCTTAAAAAAACATATAGCATTTTCTATTTATAGAAAGTCTAACCTTTTAGGATCCATTATCTAAGTGAGCCACTGCATCAGTCAGATGTCTCTAAAATCTGCATAACTCATGTAATAGTTATTCAATAAACAGTGGTTTAGAGAATAAATATGGTATATCCTGGTATCATTTCACTACTTTATCCTCTTAAGTGAATTGTATATAATTCTGTGAAAAAACCTGCTTATTTTGTCGCTTCCACAGATTTTTAAGGTTTTCCTGCCAAATGTTTGTTACGGATCAGCTCAGCGGTGCACAGTATGTGTGCCTAAAAGATGGTATGATGTAGCAGGGGTATTAAACTTAACAGCTGTTGAATTATTTGCCCAAAAATCTAAAATATGAGATTGACCCAGGCATGACCTTTTTGAATACTGCTGATAAACAAGTGCAAAAACTGTTGAGGAATAGAGTGAGGGACATTTCATGTTTTTGGTTTCATCTAATGATAGCTGGTTGGTAGAAAGCAGCCAACCGGCAGACTGTCAGAGGTCAAATTATGGCTGTCGGGCAGTTTTATTGTCTGCTGCTTATTTTTCAATGCATGCAAGTTTTTTAGTTTTTGTTTTTTGTTTTTTTTTTCTACAAAGATGAATAAAAGCTGTCATGTTAGCTTTAGAAAAATCTCTGTTATTTTCATGTTTTTAGAGATATTGTCAGTCAACAAAGATCCAACACAAAAGCTTGCGAAAGATAAAGAAGAAAAAGGAATGTGACTTAAGAGATTGCGACAGATTGCCTTAAGGTTCAGGTATAATTACTTAGTCAAGGTTAAAGAAGTAATATAAGCAAGAAATAATGATCAGGGAAAGAATCATAAAGAATGTCTGTAAATTTTATAAGGAAAGTTCCACAATTATTTGTATATAAGGTTATACTTTTAAAGCTGCCATCAGAATTTAATAAACTACTGCAGGGTTTACATCTAAGTTTTAATTTCAATTTATTTTGTTCGTAGCAGCTGACTAATTGGGTTTGTAATATCAACAAACTGCAGATCTGGAAAAGCAATCTATGTGATGGTAAACAACACGGCTCTTAATGGGTTTAGAAAAATGCACAGAGGATGATCTTTGAAATGGGTTTTAAGTCCTCACTCAGACATTGCAACACTTTATTACTCTAAATTACATTTAAGTGTGTAGAAATTACTTTTAAAACAATTTGCTTGTTTTTTTTTCTCCTTATTGAGCTATTCTGTTCCCTCGATTGATCGAAAGCAGCATTAGAAACTCCTTAGTTTAGAGTTTTTGCTTTTAAGTCTTAATGTCCAAATTTCATGCATGGCAAATATGTAGTTTCACATGCCGCTTCTAAGAGACTCACTTTACTCTTCCTCACCCTTTCTTTAGCTCTCCAGGGCAATGGCTCAGCGGGATGGTGTGAGATGGGTTTGACCAATGGATTTAAGCTGATGGGTGACAGATACAGTATGGTCAGCTCCAGAACAAATATGTTTAGCTGTAGGTGTCAGTGTGTCTTATGGTAAGCTTGATTCCCAGAGTCAATATCTTTATTCAAGAATGAAATATAATATGTAGCAATTGGTTTCTAAGGCTTATAATCTTATTTAAAGCGAGTGGGAAAGTCACGTTTGTATAATGAAAGAGGATTCAAGGAAAAGCCCATATACTGCTTTCCAGTTAAGGTCCTAAAGAAATATAAATGATCAACATTATAAAGCGCCCATGTTAATATATAGATATCATGATGTAAATGTATATTTTGCTCCCAGTATGAAGATTAGTGGGCATAGATTATAGAGCAGTGCCACTTTGGTCTGCTACATTAACAGGACTCTTTTGTTCCAGCCTCTCTTGGATCCCTTTGCATGCTGTTAGCTTAAAAACATTAAACAGATTCGATCTAGTTAATAATTTTCGGTTTTGTTGGAGGTTATGTGGGAAAACATTGGGGGTTCCAGCTTTAATGATGGCTTTGATGCGAAACAAACTATTTGCTGGCACGACTTTACACTGATGCTATGGCTCGGCTGTGAGCTGAGGCTGCGAGCCTTATAAATAAAAAATAAAAAATGGTGTTAGTCTTTGTGTTTAAGGTGATGGCATCCCAAGGAAGGACATATATATCAACGACAAGATCAAAATATTAAAGGGGTGTCATGTATCTAAAATTTCCCTCTTTTGACGTTTTCAGCAGTCGATCTGATAAGATGAACAAACGGTGGGGGGCAGGATACAGTCAGATAGGCAGACATATTTTTCTTCTGCAATATGTGAGGCTTCTGTTGCTGAGATGAAAAGGTTACATTTGTGTTTAGATAAGAAATGGAGTGATTAATAATGTCTGAGGAAAACTTGTGTTATTGCACAAGTCTGAATTTACAAACCAGACTTCTACTGAAGAAAAAAACTAAATATGTTGTGCCTGGGTTCATTAAGAGCCAAGTTTTCAGTTTCTGGTGGTATTCCAGCCATGATCATGGCTTACCTTCCTCACATTATCTGCCACCTTGTAATAAGGAGGAGAAAAAGTTTACACCCGAGCAGCATCACCCAATAAAAGACTCCGTTATACATTACTACAACTATTTGCTTTTCTCTACCTTCCTGTCCTTGACTAAAAACATAGTTTCTTACAGACTCTGTTGTAACACCAGGGCAAAACATACGAGTTATGTGAGGAATTTCTTTCATGAATCACAACATCTGACTTGCATCATGTGGGATCAAACACAAAGGATTATGGTGTGTTTGCTGTGATAAATACTAAAGCATGAGATGGACCTTACACTGGGCCTCAGTCAAATGAGCACACAATAGCTGATTTTTTTTGTTTTCTTTTAGAGAGATAATTTTTTGATTTGCTTGCTTAAAGGTCAGCATGTGCAATCATCTCTGCGATGTTGACTGCTGCTTCATCATTGAAGCTTCCTTCAATTTTAAAGAAATCTGCTTATTTTACATGCATTATTTCAAAACAACACCTATTATGCATTTCACATTCTGGTGAATTAATTATTTTTCAATATGCAACAGAAGCATGGATGAATTAAGAAGCAGCCTTCATGGAACGATTAAATTAAGTCATGTTGCTCGTTCTTCATGCTGCTTTATTTTTCCTGTCATTGGATGTCTAGCATTGTTAAATATAAATGGCTTTTCTATTTAATTTTTAAATGATGTAATTAAAGCATTATGCAACACATAATGACATATAAAAATGCTTGGTGAAAGGTCTTTGAAATGCTTTGTCTTGGCAAGAAAATGTCTGCAATTACTATGATTTTCATTTGTTCTTGTATTTTCTTTTAATTATGTCTCTTTCCACTTTCATTTATGCATCACCGGCAATG